GAGCCGGCCAAGGTGTCTTTGTTCCTGACTAAATAAAGGTATGCTTAGCTGAAATCACTCTCCGTATGCATACTTTTCAGTTCTGACACAGATCATCTTAGCCTGAAACATCTTTATCTCTCAATAAACAAATCACTGCCAAGAGAGTGTTGTTGGGAGTCAGTTTGTTCAAGAGTCTGACACAGAGATCCATTCCCCTGGAGAAAATGGCTGCTTTGGAGGGTGGACCACATTGAGGTCCCTGCCCTCCTCAGGCTCCATCCGCAAATTTCTAGGAGTTTCCCAACCTGGATCTGGCAACCCTACCCCTCCCATCGCCAGGGAGGACCTGGCAACCCTAAATGGAGAGCTTGGGATGGTTCCTTTGTGTGTAGGTTAAACCAGAAGTCTCCAACCTTGCTGAAAGAGTGAGCATTTTTGGGAATGTCGAGAACATGTAGCGAGTACCACAACAAAATGGCTGACATGGGTCCAATCACAAAATATTGGAAAGCTCTACAAAATGTTAGGAGGTTCCAAGCCACATATGTGCTCCCCATGAACACATGCCTCCTCAGCTATTCTGAGATTTGGGTGGTGGAACCTGGAGAGGATGGGGCTTGGGGAGGGACCTCAGCAGGGTATAATGGCATAGAGTCCACCTTCCAAACTGGCCGTTTTCTCCAGGTGAACTGAACTCAATTGTAATCTCAGGACATCTGCAGCTACCACCTGGAGGTTAGCAACCCCTACGCATACCTGTGATGCCACAGCATTGTGCAATGCTCTAGGAATTCCCCAAATCTCTATGGTAAAAACCATAGGGATTTGGGAAATTCCTAGAGCATCGCTGCTTCTGTGGTCAGTTCCAAATATGCAACCAGAAATGAAATCAAGGCATCATGGGACACCAGTTTTCACAGTATCCCACCCCTCAAGGATCCCAGGGGTTGCCAGCTGAGAACTGGAAGCACCATGTGGTGTTCATGAGCACCATGTTGGGGGTCATTGGTTAGACAATTCTAGTGTGCACACTGTGGGAAATAATATCGTTGACTGTATCTTTTTATAGAATATGGCTTCATTGTAAAAAAAAAAAAAAAATTCCGGCAACCTGCTCAAAACTCTTACAACACCACGCCCCATCCCAAGCTGGGAAAAATTCCTTAGTTGGTTCACAATCAGTATTTTTGTGTGTATGTGTGTGTTGCCCCTCTCCCTGCCCTCCCAGAATGGTTTCCCTGCTACTCTTGTGTAACAGGAAAACTCACCTGGATATAGCAGAAACAAAGTTACAAAACACCAATCTCAGATTAAATCCCATATAAAGAGGGCAGGAAAATCTAGCACAAATTAACTTTAATCCCATTAGTTCCACCCGCAGACCATGGACAGATCGTTAAACTGGTACCTTGCACAAAATTAATGGTGCTGTTGTTCCCTGACCTCCCTTGATCATGATAGTTTCCTACTCCTGCTTGCAGGGAAAACAAAAAATATAGATAATCTTTAAAAGCAATATGATTCCTTTCAAGAAACCTGATCAACTGTTTATCCCCCCACCCCCCTTTTCTCAGGTATTTTTTTCAGCCGGAGGGGGAAGGCAGAGAAAGCCAGTAGGCATTCAACTGACAGCCAGGATGTCTGCATAATACATTCTGGAACATTCATAAGGCTATAAATTCAAAATCCCCCCCCCCAATTAGCTTGTGGTGGAAACTAATTTGGAAAGGAGGAGGAGGAGAGTTGGATTTATACCCTGCCCTTCACTCAGAGTCTCAGAGCGGCTTACGGTCTCCTTCCTCTCCCCACAATAGACACTCTGTGAAGTAGGTGGGGCTGAGAGAGCTCTGAGAGAACTGTGACTGCCCCAAGGTCACCCAGCTGGCTGCATGTGGAGTGGGGAATCAAACCCGATTCTCCAGATTAGAGTCCGCCGCTCTTAACCACTACACCAAACTGGCTCTGAGGTTGTTGTTAATAGCTATAGGTTCTTTCATTGTTGAATTTTAGGAGTTTGCCCCCTTAAGGAAACTGGAGTCTGTTGCTGGGTAGATTAAACCCTAGAGTTACCATTTACCAGGTGGTGGCAGGTCATCTCCTGCTTTTGCCACCACCTGGTAAATGGTAACTCTAGGGTTGGCAGGGGGACAGTATTACTGATGCGGTGATGTCACTTCCAGGTGACTTTCCCCTCTGAAAACCAGGAAGTGATGTTACACAGCCCATAGGACACTCTAGGAATCCCCCTAATCCCTATGTTTCTTACCATGGAACAAACATGCCATAGAGTAAGTGCAGAATCAGTGCCGCTGATTTCTAAGGCCTGACACCGAAAGCTCCTCATATTTGCCAGCCCAGGATTTGCAACCCTAGGCCCCGGTCACATGGCAAAACCTGCTTTGGTCTGTTCTTTCCGGGAAGATTGTCGTCAAAGCAGGTGTGGTTGCAGAGTTTTACACTTCCACGCCTACTTCCAGTGCCATTTTCTTTTCATTCCCCCGGCACCCACCATCCCGCCTCTGGCTACCAGTGGGGTATTTTTGGTTTTCTTTTAAAATGGTAGTACAAGTGCAGAAAAGGGCAACTAAAATGATTAAGGGAGTAGAAGGTTAAAGAGGTTAGGGCTCTTTCGCTTGGAGGAACGATGATCGAGGGGTGATATGCAGTGTTCCCTCTAAGCTGAGCTAGTGTGAGCTAGCTCACAACTTGAATGCCAGTAGATCACAAAGTAGAATTTCTGCTCACAGGACTCCACAGCTTAGAGGGAGCACTGGTGACATGATCGAGGTTACAAAACTATGCATGGGATAGAGAAGGTAGAGAAAGCTCTTTTGGTAGCAGGGACTCCTTTGCATATTAGGCGACACCCCCCCTAATGTAGCCGATCCTTCAAGAGTTTACAGTAGCCCCTGTAAGAAAAGCTCTGTAAGCTCTTGGAGGATTGGCTGTATTAGGGGTGTGTCGCCTAATATGCAAAGGAGTTCCTGCTGCAAAAAGAGCCCTGGAAAAAGTACTTTTCCTCCTTTCTCACAATACAAGAACCCATGGGCACTCAATGAAATTGATGAGCAGTAGGCTTAGAACAGATCAAAGGAAGTCCTTCTTCCCCCAAAAGAGTAATTAACATGCGGAATTCACTGCCACATGGTGGCAGCTATAAGCACAGACAGCTTCAAGAGGGGATTGGATAAACATATGGAGCAGAGGTCCATGGCTGGCTATTAGCCACAAGGTATCGATGGACCACTATGTCTGGGGCAGTATTCTGGGTGCTTGGGGGGGGCAACAGTGGTAGGGCTTCTGGAGTTCTGGCCCCACTGGTGGACCTCCTGATGGCATCTGGGTTTTGACCACTGTGTGACACAGAGTGTTGGACTGGATGAGCCATTGGCCTGATCCAACATGGCTTCTCTTGTGTTCTTATGTACTCCTACTGTTTTTCTGTTTTAAACGAAAAAGATGGTAAAAAGCACTTTGGCGATAGAGCGGTGGGGGTCGGGTGGAGGGAAAACATGGAGAATGCCCTTATGTGGAGGTCCCATCGCCACTGCGGAACTCTCTGCATTTGTACCAGCCATGAGAGCACAGTAGAGAATCATCCCTGTACGGAAGCATCCGTAACCATCTATTTTTTTGTTCGGCTTGGGTTAAAAAACAAGAAGCCCTCTGAGTCAGCTTAAAATACTTCCCCAGCATTAGTAACTCAAGCCGCTGCTTGGAAATAAAGCATTAAGGAAGTCATTGTGGAGTTAACAGGTGTCGTGTTTCCAGCCAGTGTTCACCAGTTTTGGCAGCAGTACCTCTTTTCCCCAAAAGAATTGATTTGATCTTGGAGTCTGCGGTGATGGTGGTTAAATACCTGATGCATTGACAGTGCTATCCTAAGCAGAGTTACCCCATTCTAAGCCTAAGGCCCTTTTCACATTACCATTCTAAAATGGACAGTATTCATTGTTGGCCTGATTTTGAATAAAGCAGTACAAGGATGGGGGTTTCGTACAGCGAATTTCCTTCCGTTAATGAGCCATCTCTGAAGTGCAATGATGGTTTCAAACAGCGCCGCTTTCCTCCCCACCACCACCCTTTTTCATCATGCGATCTTCCTCAGACTTTTTTTAAAAAAACGTTCTAAGCAGGGCTTTTTTCCTGGGGGAACACACTGGAACGAAGTTCCGGAACCTCTTCAACAAAATTCTTTTTAAAATGTTTAAAAGTTCGTGAGTTTTCAGTATACAGACTGAAAACTTCATTTCCTTCTTGAGAGTTCCGGCATCTCTTTGCTCCCCCCCAAAAAAAGACCTGGTTCTAAAGTGAGCGCTATGGCGCTAAATCAATATAGCACTTCAGTGCTAAAGTGGCACCACTGAGATGCCTCGACTTAATGGAGTCAATGCATCTCCATGGTGCCGCTATAGCACTTCAGAGCAATGATGGTTTAGCACTATAGCACTCACCTTAGAATATTGTGTGTTTTTTAAAGTCCAAGAAAGATCATGTGGCAAAAAGGGACAGAAGTCAAGCAATGGTCAAAGAGGCTCAACATCTAACCGATAAGAGGGTGGGGCCAAGTGTACCCGAGAGGATTCTCTTAACCCTTTCCCTCCCAGATCCTCTTGCATGTGGAGTTACAATATCCAATATATTCTGGTAACCAGTGTCAATATCCCTTGGAGGCATTGTACCTCACTGAGGTCCCTGTCCTCCCCAGGCTCCATCCCAAGATCTCCAGGGATTTCCCAACCTGGATTTGGCAACCCTACCCCCCACACACCCTGCTGGTGGCCAGGGGGGGGGACCCGGCAACCCTAAGGGACATCCACACAATCAGTTACTTTTTTTTAATTGACCAGAGAATTCAAATTAGAATCGCAATACCTTCAGTTTGGAGATACGAAAGATATCAGTGAGCTTCCTCGTGCCTTCCGTCTTGCTCTTTGAATGGGCCATGGAATCGTCCTTGTGGTTTTCGGTATTAGTCTCGCCAGCCTTTTTTGAAAAAAGAAAACCAACATGTCGATAATAATGAAGCTAACCCGGGCTAGCATGATCTCGTCAGATCTCGGAAGCTAAGCACAGTCAGCCCTGGTTATTATTCGGATGGGAGACCACCAAGGAAGTCCAGGGTCGCTGCGTGGAGCCCGGCCATGGCCAACCATCTCCGAACATCTCTCGCCTTGAAATCCCCATGTGATCGCCATAGGTCAGCTGTGACTTGAAGGCACTTTTCCCCACCACCAACTTTGAAAATTGCTAAGCAGGCATTATGCTTTCGTGCAAATGTTCCTATATGCATCGGCAAAGCAGTGAAAACAGACAAAAGCATTCCATTTGGGATTTGCGCAGAAATTGCATTCGGGTTCACCTTAGTCAATTTTGCTCAGCTTCTTTGATGTTGTGATAGCCCCAATTCAGAATGGTGGATCGGTTTGGCAGTTGCCTAGCTGTGATTAACTGGGAAATATAATCCAACTTGTAACTCCTCCCACAATTAAGATGAAATTCTCAGGGCTTATACCCCTCACCCAAGGAAACCTTCCTGCACTACTACACAGAGAAAGGGAATGTCCCGCATTGTGCATTGTGCCAACTCTAGGGCGCGGTGTTCATTTTTGTTTCCAAAGACTTCTCCATGGTCATGTGGCCGGCATGACTAGATACTGAGGCGCACGGAATGCTGTTACCTTCCCACCAAAGCAGTACCGATTTATCTACTTGCAAAGTCTTGCTTTCGAACTGCTAGGTTGGCAGGAGCCGGGGCCAGAGACGGGAGCTCACTCCGTCACGCGGCACTTGGGTCTCAAACTGCTGAACTACCGATCTTCCAATCTGCAGCTCAGTGTCTTAGCTTCTGCCACCACGGCCCAAAAGTGAACGTATAGAGGCATAAACATGAATTTGTCCTCTATCCTTTTTTGCCATTGGGTCCTAATAATAATAATAATAATAATCTTTCAATTTATTGATCGCTCAATCCTTGCAGAGCTGCTGGCTCTGAGCGATTTACAGTTACTCATTTCACATGGGACTAACAATGCTTTATAGGGGTAATGGAGGACAACACATATAATCTTTACATAGCACACGTTTTGCAACCAACAGGGATTTGTTCAGTTGCAAGTCAGACGTGATCCGGACAGCATTTTTCCCACTCGGCTTGGCTTGGCTGGATGACGTCAGCTCTTCCTCTCCAGGACTCTTCGGGTTGCAGCTCCATACTGCCACCGCCTGGCCGGAACAGCCCATTACAGGCTTCTTGGTGCCGAAGAGATCTTCTAGGCTTTTGATCTTGCGAGCCGAACCTTCCATTCACCAGCTAACACCTCCCCCACGGGGGGTTTTGGTGTGCCCACCCTCTCTAAGGAGTGGTACCCATTTTATCTACTCGCCGAAGCTTTCGAAACGCTGGGTGGACGTCGAGCTGGGGACAAGGCTGGCAGCTCACACCAGCGCGGGGCTAGTACTGACAGCGGTCCTGTTCAGCTCAGATGTTACTTGTAACCAGAGGATAAATCCACTGTGCCACCACTCCCCTCATTTGTGACCTCATTTGGAATACTGAGTATACTTCTGGCCATTGTATCTAAAGAAGAACTCTGCAGAGCTGGAAAAAGAACAGAGGAGGGCAACCAAGATGATGAGGGGGTTGAAGCACCTTCCCTCTGAGGAAAGGCTGAAGAGTCTGGGACTTTTTGGTCTAGAAAAAAGACCGCTAAGGGTCTTTTTATAAAATTAGAGGTTTATAAAATTATGCTCGGGGTGGAGAGAGTTGACAAAGGCATTTTCTTCCCTCTCTCAAAGTACTACAACTCGAGGGCATTCAATGAAGCTGATGGGCAGTAGGCTCAGGAAGGGCAAAAGGAAACATTGCTTTACACAGAGTGTGATTCAAATGTGGAATTCACTGCCAGAGGATGTCGTGACGGCCACAGGAAGAAACAGCTTTAAAAGGGGATTTGATAGATTTGTGGAGAATAAGTCTACCAATGGCTACCACCCACGGTGCCTGAGGGGAACCTCCACATCCAGAGGCACTAATCCTCTGAATCCCAGAGCCAGGAGGCAACATCAGTGGAAGGCCTCAGCCTCTATGCCCCATTGTTGGCTGTCCAGAGAAACTGGTTGGTCACTGTGGGCTGCCCTGAGCCTGCTCTGCGGGGAAGGCGGGGTACAAATCTAACAATAAATAGATAGATAGATAGATAGATGATAGATAGATAGATAGATAGATAGATAGATAGATAGATAGATAGATAGATAGATAGATAGATAGATAGATAGATAAACTGTGTGAGACAGGATGCTGGAGTAAATTAGGGATGCCAGACCCCCCCCCCAGTGAGGGTGGGGGTCCCCTGGTTTTGAGAGTTCCTGTCCGCCCCCTATTACCCCACACACACAGGCAAGAAGCCAGAAATAAACGCAACATGCCTACTTCACCTGGAAGTGACATAAGCATGTCGGTGACATGGGGGACAACGATGGGGTTTTTTGACAAAACTCTATGGTAGACGCTAATTCTACCATAGAGGTTTTGCCCACAAACCAGAGCATCGCCTCTGATGTCCCCGATGTCCCTATGTCACTTCCGGGTAACATAGGCACATTGCGGTTATTCAATACCTCTCCGACAATCCCCTTCCTGCTTGCCCAGTCCTGCTGTATACCGCCTGTATGCCAAATTGATTTGCATGTTTCCCAAAGGCCTAGGTGGTCTACAGCAGGACTGGGCTAGCTAAAAGAGGGATTGTTGGAGATGTATTGAAGATGCCACTCTTGAGTGCCCTTCTAAGCTTTCTTGTCCTGTGGAAGGAAACACAAAAGGCATTTAAATGCCTTCTGAGCTATCTTTTCCCAGGCCCCATGATGCCCCTCTAAAATTCCACCGTGGGAAGGAGAGGGAAACCCGAGGGAAACCCACACTGCCACTGCCGGGGGGGTGTCTTTCCTCAAAATAAAGTTTCTACACACACACACAAACAAACAAACACATACTATCCCACAAAAATAAGGTTTCTGGCAAGGCTACTTGTGGGGCGGGGCTTTTAATTAAGGGGGCAGGGCCCCAAAATGCCCCACTGTAGCTACGGGCCTGGAATCAGGGCCAATTGGAGCTGCTATTTAGCAACAAGACATACTGAAGGTTGATTGACTGGTCTTCCACCAATTGTCTACATGGACTCTGAATGGCCTGGTCTTCACAGGGGTGTACAATCCAGCTGTATGCACTCCCAAGGAGTCCCTGTATTTTACAAAAAAAAAAAAAACCCTTCCCCATATGTCCACACACTACTCTCTAATCAACATTTTGCTAGTGAGTGAAAAGGTATCCTCAAATCTACATCCTGGGTTAGATTCCACCTCAAAACACCCCTTGTGGAAAAGTCTTCTGGAAACAGAAGTCTGACTCTCCATCCTTGTGGCAACCTGAAATGTCCCCCAAAATGCTGCTTCTGAGATTTCAGTGGCCATTGTGGGGGTTGCTAAGCAACCACAATATTGTTATCCTTCAACCCTTGGTTTCTGTTAGTAAAAAACAGGAAGGAAGGCTCTTTCCAGGTCTATTTTAGCCAATTGCTACCACACAATATTAGTGACTTGCCAGGCTTTTTCCAGGGAGAAGCTGCCAGGGGCAGGAAAGGGAAAAAAAGTTGAGAGCCTGCATGGTGTAGTGGTTAGAATGTCAGACAAGGAACTAGGAGACCCGGGTTCAAATCCCCACTCTTTCATGGAAGCTTACTGTGTGCCCTTGGAACAGTCACTTTCTCTTGGCCTAATCTGCCTCACAGAGTTGTTGAGAAGACAAAATGGTGGAGATGGCAATGATGTAAATTGCTTTGGGTCCCCAAATGGGGAGTAAGGTGGGGTGTAAATGAAGATAAATAGTTAAGAGGAAGACTTGGGGGAGCCAAATAAAAGAAAGGCTGGTTGGTGAGCAGAAAGAAGGAAGCAGGGGAAGGGGAGAGGACATGGGAGCTGCCAGGAGGAGGGGAAGAAGGAAATAGTGTGAGGAAAGGGATACAGGGGGATATACCCTGCAGGTTCACTGTTTGGTAAAATATATTTCACTCACATCCTGAGAATTCTGTCTCAGCCAACTCTGTATAAACGGCATCAGGTTTTTTCCCCTCTCTAAAGAAGTGCTTATGCAATTTTGCCTTTTCCCACAGGGCCATCTGATAAACAAAGCTGCATTTGTAATCCTCGTACTTTGCTACCATTTCATCATTATATCATCCGCTTCAACTTTAGAAAACCACATTCCAGGATCAACATCAATAGCATGCATGCAGCCTTGCAGGCTCAGGTAGCCACAGAGGCTGGTCGGTCCTGAAGTCTGAATCATTCCCAACTTAAAAAAAAAATAAAATGAATTTCTAGCTCGCTGGGCAACAAGATGACTCTGAAACAGCAACAGTTCTGCACACCCTACTGAAAAATTTGGCATTTTTTTGTAAGACAGATCCGCTCCATCCCTTCCCTACTCCAACAGGAGAAGTCCTGATTCCTGTGCTCTTCGCTCTGATCTCCCCACAGCCTCCCACCTTCCTATCCATACCTTGGTGGTCCCGTTAAAGGGACACGAACTGGCCTTTCTCCTCAAATCTAACACATCCTGGAGTTTTCTCTGGGATAAAAGCACAGCGATCTCGAGTCCTGGAAGGTCTTTCAACAGAGAGGCAAAATCAGGGCAAAGCAGGAGCAGGGGGAGGGGGAGAGAACAGCCTTGAATGTACCATTTTGTAAGAAGTCTGTGAAACTTTTTTGTTTTATTCATCAGCAGCTTGCTGAGAAAGAGGAAAGGAGAGAAGTGGAGCCAAATGAAGCCAAAGCCAGCAAACTGCTCTGTCCCTGCAGGGGATGCGTTTAAAGTTCTCCTTCAGGGTCAGCCAGACCATTGCCTGAGTGCAATTCTATGCGGATGGATCACCCACCTTGATGCCATCGCTCACGGGGGCTTCGGTCTCCATCTCGGACCCAGATCGGACCGTACGCTACCTGTCTGTGTTCCCTGATCTCTCGGCTTTTCCGGCTGAGCCCGTGTAAGACCGGATCCCTAATTCCCTAAGCAATGTTAATCCTTGCAGGTCTTTGATTACCTTGATTTCGGGCCAGTCCACAAGTAATTAACTCCTAATAGGACCCAAGCATCACCAGCCCTGTGGCCGTTAAGGGATACAGATGGGCACTGCGGTGAGCATGATGTCCAACAGCTCCCTCTGGCCCTTTCTGCAATCCATGTTCATCGCGGTGTCTTCCAAGCGATTCTGCACTAAAATCGAATTCAGCTTTCTTTTTAATCCAGTTTTTTCCCCATTCTGCACTAAAACTGAGTTCAACCTCCTTTTCATTCTGTTTTTTCCCCCCCATTCTGCATCACATTCCTTCCCTTCTGTGTTTAGCCCGGTTTCAGCCTGCTGTTGCCCCGGGTTACTTGGATGCTGTTTTGCTGTGGACTTAGGCCCATTCTGCATCTAGCATTCGCTCCGCTGTTTTACCAAACCCACACTGGAAGAGAAATTTATTTATTTATTTATTTATTTATTTATTTGATTTTTATCCCGCCCTCCCGCCGAAGCGGCTCAGGGCGGCTTACAACATTAAAACAGTAAAACAATGCCTCTAAAACAATCTATACAGTACCTTAAAATCAAAATTTAACACACAGTACAACATATCCATGGCGGCAACCATAAAGTGCTATCATGCTTGGTCTGGGTTATTAAATGCTTGGCGGAATAGCTCCGTCTTCACCGCTCTCCGGAACTGGTGGAGATCCCGGAGGGCGCGGATCTCATGAGGGAGCTGGTTCCATAGTGTTGGTGCTGCCAAGGAGAACGCCCTAGTTCTAGTAGATGTTAATTTGGCGTCCCTAGGGCCAGGGGGGACTAAGCGGTCCTGC